AGAGGAGGACATGTGCTTTGAAGGAATGAAACCTGTAAACCAAACTGCAGCCGCGAGCAAGGGACTCAGAGGTCTCCTCCACCCACAGCAGTTGCAGTTGATGAGCAGGCAGCTTGATGACCCAAATGGTAGCTTTGCAAATGGTGTGTTGAGAGCTCAGATTTTCCCTTTCCAGGGTGCTGGCATTGTGAAGGAAATCTGGGGCTTGTCTCTCTACCTTGAATGCATATTGGTTGGAGGCCTTGCTTTTATTTGTAATCCAGTAGTGGCCTAGTCTCTTCTCTCAGACAAAATACTAGTTCAATTTGAGACTGTCCTGTGTGTGTGTCTGGTAGTGGGCTATTACACCAGGGCCACAGTGGAGCTTGGCCGTGAGAGGCAAAGTCTCTCTCAGCTGTGCTCGCGAAAGGGTGAACCATCCCTCTTTCTACCCGGTGCGCTTTTTTTTCCCTGTAGAAACTGTACCTGTTACTTTCCCTTTGTAACAGCAGTAGTCTCTCCTGTAGTTAACTTGACAGAAAAATGAATTAGGATGTTGATGCTATTTTTTACCTCAATGAAATTCCCTTGAAAGGAGTTTCTCACCTACTCTGTCAAGATACTTCCTGGAGGTTTAGCAAAAACCTTATGTTTAAGTTAATATCAAAGCATAGTATTTAGAAGTGAAATGAACAGTGCTGGTAACAGTACGCTTTCAGGCAGATGAACCTCTATCACTCACTGTTCTTCTCTCGCTGGATCCAGTGGTGAGTGCATGCACTGCCGAACGCTGTCATTGGTGACAGAGAATGGTAGTCGTGTTCCTCCTGTCTTCTGAAATTTGTAGAAACACCTTCATTGGTAGGGGAGACGATTACTGAAACGTAAAATGAATAGCATCAAAGTAAAAACAGTAATGGGATTTGATATTCTTCCAAGTTAATCCTTTTCTTGGCAGAGACATGAAGATGTATTAAATCTCTTTTTCAGTCGATAAAAATATAATAGCCTTTAGGGGGAGATGATGAGTGAGGGAGGACGTAACTACTGTTGAAGAGAATGCTTTTTCTGCCGAGTCAATAATGTAATGTCATGGCTTTGATTAGTGGAGGGAGTCGAAAGTCTGACCCTATCAAAAGAAAGAAAAAATTTTTAATGGTACCAAGGTGGTTAAGAACTACCGTAGTCCCGCAGTACAGATTTCTTGACCTTGTGTATTTTGTCTACAAATGAGAGAAAAATTGGTAGCTTATGTACGTTAGGGTCTAATTTTGTTTAAATGTAGATGTCCACATGAGGCTTTACTGATGTGTATGTCATAGCAGTGACGCTCTAAATAACATGTTAGTCAAACTTCTTGCCTAGGTTTCACAAGTGCCATGGCCATTATGGAGACAGCTGTGATGAGCGGTGAGCCTCCTTTACCGCTGCTTTGATCTGGGACTCAAGTGTTTCACTGCTGCTCAAGGATGAATCTTTGTAGTAGTTAGAACTGAAGTGAGGCCTTGAAGAGAGGCTCTGGTCTTTCTTGCTCTCCCCACTCTAAGCAGGGAGTTTGAAACTTTTGTGATTTCTTTTGCTGGCTTTTGTCCAGTGTTTCAAGGATGCTGTCAACTGCAGTCCCCCTCTGCCCCTAGCCATTAAATGGCAGCACAGATTTTATGGCTTGCAATAAAAAGTGAATTTGTCTAATCTTAAACAGGAAAAGTTTTAACGGATCATGAAGTAAGTGTTGGGGAAAACCAGAGTCGTGACCTCTGTATATGTGACTTAACGTTTCCATTAGATCACGTTTCCTTGTAAAGTATTTAACTTCTTTAATACAGCCCATGAGTATCTACTGCATTTTCCAGCCACTCTGCTCTTGGGTATTCTTCAATTGACCTGGGCCAAATTGACTTCATTTGGCCTGGGTTCTCACGTATATACCATAGTGTAAAGTATGTTTTTTCAGGAGGAGGGTAAGACGCGTTCTCTGCAGACAGGAGGCTAGAAACACTTGAAATTGGAGAAAACTGCTCTTTCCAGCCATACGAGATTTTATTTGAGACTAAGGATACCTTTCTTGTTTTTAATGTTTTCTTTATTTTTGAGAGTATGAACAGGGAGGGACAGAGAGAAGGGGGAACTGAAGATCTGAAGCAGGCTCTGCGCTGACGACAGCAAACCCGTTGTGGGCCTCGAACTCACAAACCGTGAGATCATGACCTGAGCCCGTGTCCGACACTCAGCCAACTGAGCCACCCAGGTGCCCCCAGACTAAGGATACCTTTATATACTGGTGGCTTTTACCACTTCTAAAGTAGCATGGGAAACTATATATTAGGCATAGTTTTACAGTAGCTCTTTGGTCCTTCTCTGGGCTCCAGGACTGGTTTTGTGTGCCTTGTTCTCCTGTAATGAAGACTGAGATTGGGTCACTGGGTCATTAAATTCTAGTATCATAGGATACTAGCTGCTGCGCTGTTCGGGTTTGACTGGTTGCCTCTTTGGCATTTTTGTTTCATTCAATCTAAAACTCTAAGGATGACATTATATTCTTTTTGCATAAATGAGGGAACTGAAGTTGTACTAGGTAAGACTTGCCGCAAGTGTCTGGCTCAGCTAAGTTACAGAGCCACATTTGAACTGCCTGACCTCGGACAAGAGGACTAGAGCAATGTGGTTGAAGTGGTGTTTTGCTTTCATAAATGAGAATGTGAACCATAACATGTAACATCCATCCATGAGGCTTTTTTTTTTTTTTTTTTTTTTTTTTTTTTTTTAAAGCTAGGGTGTGTTGGGCTGGGAGTTGGCAGGTTATTACGGCCTTTAGGTATAATTTTATTTGGCTATTCTGTGTTTTAAATGTGTGTTAGTTGCCAGCGTTTAAAATTTATGTCACATAAAAAGGTTTTTGGTTTTCTGAATCAGGAGATAATCTGGCAACACGGGGCTCACTTTCCCACACCCTAGTGATTGACATGGTCATTGGACATGACCTCGCAAGGGATGGCAGGGAGCCCCGTGGATGGCACAAGCACTTGCTCTCCAGGCTGCTTTTCCCCACCTTTGTTTCCTTCACACCAAGGCTTTCTGCCACCATGCATCTCACACCCAGCCAGGCTCACTGTCAGTGGTCTGCGAGGCCCCCGTGGGTAATGGCATTTGTGACCCATTTTAGGCCAAAAACTTCTCCTCACGTTGATGTGAGTTTCTTATTAACTGGACTTTAACTGCGTATATACCTCGGTGAGTGGGAAGATTTCCGTGTTTGAACTACACCTGGTCTTGTCTGAATGTGAGAATTTGTTCACATTCTCTATCACTTTGTGTTTCCAGTTTTCATTTGATTGGCTCCCTACTTGACGTTCTTCCCTCTCTTTCCCATTTAATTTGGCTCTGAAATAATACTGGGAATTGGGGTTTGGGGGTACTTAGCACCCCTGAGTACTTTGCTCTTCGTGGTGAGAATTTCAGCCTACTTCCCGGTGACCTTATATAGCAGGCTGTCATCTGTGTTAACCAGATTATCGGACTCGTTTCTTTTCTGACTCTGCACCTAGAGGAATGTAAGAGTTTGAGCCTGGGTTTTGAGGGAAATGTACTAAAGGTGCTGTGTACTGAATTGATCATAATTAATGAGATACTTTTAATTCTTTTCCCGGTTCTAGCTGAGATGAGTGAACTGAGTGTGGCCCAGAAACCAGAAAAACTTCTGGAGCGTTGCAAGTACTGGCCTGCCTGTAAAAATGGGGATGAGTGTGCTTACCATCATCCTGTTTCACCTTGCAAGTGAGTAGCAGCAAGCTGATGGCTGATTTTCAGGGTTAATTCTAGATCTTAGAGCTTATTCTGTTTTTTTTCTTTCCTGTGGACAAGTTTGACCTTTGTAACTAACTGCAGTAACACTTAACCATTGCCCTCCCAGAATAGCATACGTGTGTGTGTGTTTGGCAGAGTAGAGAGATGGGGGAGAAGTCTTCTGCACGTTAAAGAGATAGGTATGTAAGTGCCCTGGTTTGTACGCATTGTGTACATACACCGCTATTAAGACATTGGAGAAAAAAAATAGTCACAGGCAATGATAAAACATTTTGGACTTGGGTATAATTTTTCCTTAGAAGTTGGCTGATTCAGTGTCATGAGCTTTGAGAGATGGCTTTTAGATTAAAACAAAAAATTTTTTTTTGGCCCTAGAGGTGGAATCTCTCCATGTAATTTTTTTTTAACTTTAATTTTAATTTATTTTAGAGAGACACTGCAAGTGGGGGAGAGGGGCAGAGGAAGAGAGAGAATCCTAAGCAGGCTCCTACATTTATCACCGAGCCCAACACAGGGCTCAATCCCACAACCCTGGGATCATGACCTGCACCGAAATCAAGCATTGGATGCTCAACTGAGCCACCCAGACGCTCCTCCGTGTTTTAACTTCTTTAAGGAAATTTTGATGTGAGAATGATATGGATGTCCATAGAGGGAGACCAGAGAAGGAGTCTGTTTTGTGTAGCAATGCCTTGCACATATATTGTGCCCAGTATATTGAGTTTATTCATAAAAGATTGTAGACATGGATCTGACAGAGTATGTGGTGTGAATTCTTACCATAAGAAACTGTTTTGTCTTTCATGGTGGTGGCTTGCTTGAGTCGAAAATCTGTTATTACCCTCGGCTTTCGGATAAACTTCTATGTTCTGTTTTGAAATCTGTGCTCCCTTAAAAGTTGAGTTTCCCAGGGAGCCTGGCAGGCTCAGTTGGAAGAGCAGTGTGACTGTTGATCTCGGGGTTGTGAGTTCAAGCCGCATGTTGGGTGTAGAGTTTACTTCAAAAAATTGAGTTTCCCTTTTTTTCTATTCTGTGTTTCTCAAAACAAGTAGTGATGGGGTATAAGGAGCCTCTCTACAAAAAAACTGATCATGCGTTGAGAAAAGTAAATGTGACTGTTTTTGTTTTATAGAGCCTTCCCCAATTGTAAATTTGCTGAGAAGTGTTTGTTTGTTCATCCAAATTGTAAATATGATGCAAAATGTACTAAACCAGATTGTCCCTTCACTCATATGAGTAGAAGAATTCCAGTACTGCCTCTAAAACCAGGTATGTGACCCTGTGCACTACTACATTTAGGTGGAAGATGACATTTGTGATTTTATATGAGTTTATTTTTAGGAACTATCGTGCCAGAATCACTTAACCAGTCTTTAAAGAGCAAGTGTGTCTGTCCAGTAGCATTCTGAAGTATTTTCTCTAATGGATATATAAATCACTTTTGAGAAAGAGGGAGAGAGAGAATCCCAAGCAGGCTCTGCTGTCGGTGTAGATCCTGCCAGGGGGCTCGATCCCATGAACCATGAGATCATGATCTGAGCTCAAGTCAAGAGTTGGACAACGCTTGAGCCCCACCTCAATTTTTTTTTTTTTTTTTACATTTATTTTTGAGAGAGCACAAGTGGGGGAGGGGCAGAGAGAGAATGAGACACGAATCCGAAGCAGGCTCCAGGCACTGAGCTGTCAGCCCAGAGCCTGACACAGGGCTCAAACTCAGGAACGGTGAGGTCATGATCCGAGCCGAGGTCGGATGCTTAACCCACTGAGCCACCCAGGTGCCCCAGCCCCACCTCATTTTAATTTTATAACTGTTGCCATAAAAACATCAGTAGACTGCATGACAGATTATTTTGCCAAATTTGATCAGTCTTTGTTCTTATCTTTGTCAGCAGTTACAACACCAGCACCACCTTCTAGTAGTCAGCTGTGCCGTTATTTCCCTGCTTGTAAGAAAATGGAATGTCCCTTCTATCATCCAAAAGTAAGAATTTTCATTTTCCCAAAAATGATTCAGTGATAACTCTTAATTCTGAGACCTGCAAGATCACTAGCAAATTGAATGTCTTGGGTATCCATGGTCCCCCCACC